TTTGTACCTTTTACTGTTCACCTACAAGTTATTGTTTACCTACAAGCCATCCGCACACCTTAGTGTATAGTGCTCAACTGTACAATTATAAATTTAATTTACTGTAGAATACTTTATTTTTGCTTGGAATTCATTTTCGCTATTTTCGCTGAAGGAATGATTCAGTGGAAATAAAATCCAGCGAATATATCGTTCCTATATTTTACATTCAACTTGTCAAAAATCAGTGAAAATAAAATCCATGCAAAACACCCAGAAATTTATTCAGCGAAAATTAATTCCAGCTAAAATAAATTATTTTACAGTACTATGATATTACGAGCTAAGACAACGTATTAAAGTATGACATAATTATAAACTAATATAACTTATAAACTAGTTAGAACTAAAGGTAAATGTTTATAATTGATTAAGGATATGATATCAGTTTCCCTTCTTACTAAGTATTTACACTACAGGTAGTATTAAAACAGAACACAAAAATGTTTTGACGTAAAATCTGATCTCATCCAGGGTCACCTGTCATACATGCATGGGCCTGTCATTTGTGTAGATTCAGGGACTGTTTGTTTACCTAGTTTTGAGTTGTTTGGGATAATGAAAGTGAATACAAGTCAAGGATAAAAGAAAATTGCACATAATAATAATTTATTCACCTTTGAAAATAGACAATTCTCCTCCAAGGCCATTTTTATAAAAGAATTTTTGTTGCTGCCAAACTAAAGAACTCATTGTTTTTATATAATATCAACTTATCAAACGCACAATATACGATTTCAGGTTATGACTGACCAGTCTTGCTTTACACGAGATTTAAAAAAAAAAGTGTATACTTTTAATACCTAAATGTAAATCAATAATATTATGAATAAAGCAAGAAATAAATTTGTTTAGAATTGCTGTTTTATATGAGAACTTATACAGGACAGTGAATTATCAATAAATATGAAAATATTAAATAAAGATTAAAGACAGTGAAATATGGAAAGTTTACAAAAAATTATTGATTTCCCCCAAACCAGATTTACCGCTACCTAGATATTTTGGTCTATGGGTGGTCATAATAATTAATATTAAATGTCTTATTTTTTTTTTCTCTTTAGGTAATCGTGGAAAGGTATTACAAAGAAAGAAATTTATCAATATTAGATAAAACCAAGTTCCTGGTACCCCAAGAGTTGACGATGAGTCAGTTTGTTACAATTATTAGGTACGTATGGAAACACATGTCTGTTAGTAATATTACTAGTTGATACTAGTTTCCTAATGTTGGATGACGTCCAACGACATTGTTTTTTGCTTGCGCAACATTTTATTGAATGGGAAATGAGTGTTCTTTTATAGTGTTGAATTAATGGGTGATGTAATTTCTCAACAGATGTATATATTTTCTCAGCAAGGTCAAAACATCTAATCTTTTAACTAATTTGATATTAACTAAGGTACTGTAATTTGATGAAAAATATGACAACAATTCTTAATTAGTAATGCATCAACACTGCAATGGAGTCTGGTATCTGGTTATGTTTCTTTGAAGTAGGGCAGGACAAGGTCTAAAAAGGTCATGGGAAAAACCCTTGCATCTGTGGGCTGGCCATGTTGTAATTTGCATTATGTCATTGATTGTTATGTCCTTAGTTCATTGACCTTATCTGTTCAGTTATAAGAAGGTGGATTTGCATCTTCATGTGGTGAAATTAAACAAGCTCAGTTTTGAGTTAACCTTTTCACCACCAGTTCCCTATTTGCACAAAATAGTCCTGCTTTTATTGTATGCACTTTTCTTCAGAAGATTGGGACAAAAATAGCCAAATTTTTTTTGAGTAAAATCTGAAAATTGACTAAAATTTAGTTTGTTGGCTTCATAATTCCGATTCATTTCCAGAAATATTAAAGAATATAAAAAAAAAGTGCTGAAAATTTTGGTGAGAATGTCTGGTGGTAAAAAGGTCAATAGTAATCATTAGTAATTGCATCAAATGTCTACAGCACCTGGAACAGCCTCTGGCCAGACGCAAATAGTTAACTGACACCTACAGCTGGCTTAGATTCCATGGACCTGTCACCTTATGTCAACTAAAGCGCAGGGTATATTATGTTCCGATATCTATGTACATGTTTTTACTTATTATTATATCAGTATCGTGTGCTGTGATCTTAAAAAAAAATTACATATACAGTAATGCAAAATAACTGTGTGTAATATTCACACAAAAAAATATTGCTCTCAGTTGATCTATATATAGGTAACTGTAACCATGGTTACCAGTAACCATGCTGTAACCCAAGCTGGTAGTATCATGTGACCTGTGTATATATTTGTCACAATGACTTGTGGAAGTATTTTGCAACCATGTTTGTTTTGTGTAAAAATATCAACATCTGTTTTCTGAAGGTATTGCACATAATGGCTTTCAATCATGTATGGTGATATATGAAATGAAATCCCATGGAAACTGTGCCCCTTTTTCTATTTCTACTACCTTTGATTGTACTTCGATCAATAGAGTATATCTAAAATGTTACTATTTAACTCTAAGGCAACCTGTTGTTTAGATTATACAACATCACTTTGAATATAACATGTTGCATTTATAGTGTAATATGTTCACTTCGTTGTCTTACAAATGGAAATCATAAATGTAGCATATTTACCGGTACATGCATTTGCTTTTAATGGATCTTAGTTCAGATAAATGCCAGAACACTTCACACATTTTCCTACTCCACAATTCAATTTCTATTGATATTAGACTGCAATAAATAGTATGCTACTAGGAAATATATTGTCATCTGACACTTGACATTTTCCATTCATGCAAAATATATCTCATCGTATGGAGTCTGGATTTTCTTTTCCTAGGCCTTGTGTATTTAGTTTTAATGTATACTTGCTTGCTTGCACTCAACTCTGTGAATTTATCATTTGCAAACTATATGCCTGGTAATTTGCTAGCTCCATAGTGAGCCAGATCTTTTGATAATAAGCTCCACTCATTGTATCAGAAGGTGGTACTTTGCATCCCAATAGTAAATCACAAACACTTTATAAATTTGAATCTACATTTAAAAACATTTATGAAACCTTACAATTAAAGATATCCAAGATGAGATTACATTCAGCTTAAATTTTATGAACTCATATTATAACTGTTACAAATAATTACCTGATTTGAGATGTATTTTTTTTTGTCATTCACAGAAATAGGATGTCACTCAGTGCGACGCAGGCATTTTACCTGATGGTGAATAATAAAAGTCTAGCTAGCATGTCAACGACACTTGCAGAAGTTTATAGGGATGAAAAGGATGAAGACGGATTTCTTTATATGGTTTATGCATCACAAGAAATGTTTGGTTGACGATGGAGATTCCTATTAATTAAAGACACTGTATATATTGTTGAGAGAAAAGTGAGCATATTTTCATAGACATTAAGTGGATGGTGATGCAGGCAGTATTTTTTAAAGTGTATTTCCAACAACAGTGCCTTTCATCGATCTATGTGTAAATACTTCCTATACCGGTACTCGCAGATGTGAACAAGATTCTTTATTTAGTCTATGTATTTATAACTCTGTGTTGCTCAGTGAACAGCTGTATTTTTAGAAAATTCTAATTTTCTCTTTGCTATAATAACATTCAGCTGCTTAGATTCCCATCCAGTATCAGTAACGATCAAGTGTTTCTAACATCTATGTGCGTGGGAGTCATGTGATCAAATAATGCGAATTTAAAAATAGAACAAACGTAGTTGTCAGCTGAGCTATGGATTGCGTAAACTGTCAATATTAGTACACCTGTACCGATCGTATACCAGGACAGAGGTCAAGGGGAGAATACTTTATTTATAAAAACTCATTTCTCAACTACTTTTTTTCTAGACTCAGCAGATGTTTCTAAATGTCTTTCCATTTCTCGTACCCATTTATTGAGAGTGTATTTTTGTTTCAACCATCTGTCTAATTATTATCCAGTGTGTTTTCGGAAGGAGCATTATATCTATTTTTTGAACATACAAATGTGTTTATTTATTGTTTTCCTTATATGTTGAAGGACGTCTCATTCTGATAGACGATGGCTTTCTTAAATCGATGCAGTTGACACATCACAGTGTGTTTGGTATTGGTCCTAAGCAACCCTTACAATCCTTATAAAAAAAACATGATTTTAGTTACCTTTCAACTGAATCGAGATATAATTCAGCAATATCAAGGATTGCATTTGAATTATTGTGCAAGTCCTGATGACGAAATGTAGAAAAATTGACAACTTTACTTTCAAGACTAATCATTTGAATATTCAACTCTTACTGTTGACTTATTCTTTGAGTTTTTGGCGAATCCACAATTATTTACAAGCAGTAAGTCTTTCAGCAAACTAGTATTATTCTTGCTATTAAAATAACTGATTCCATATCTTTTGAAATCTAAATGTATAATAATGACCGATTAAATGTGTTCCAGTTTGATTTAGTGTTTTTTGAAAAAAAGGGTACCACATCACACAAAACTTCTACAAATTTATTTCTTATATATATATATAGTATGTACAGTTGATTGGTCAATTTTTTGTTGCCAGTGTTGTGAAATTGTAATTAAAAAAAAGATGTAACTGAAATATTTTGAACATATTTGCGCACTATTTTTTTCTTTAAATTAGAATATAATGGTCTGTTTACAAATACCAGTGTTTTGTGTACAAATATGTGCAATTTTTGTATGCTGTCAAATTACTGCTGCCCTGTTAAGATGAATCAATGAAGAAATACCATGCCATTGGTCAATTTGAATCGTTAATCAATCCAGATTTGTTCCTCAGTATAAAAATAAAAATGGTTGATCCCATAATACTCAGATTTTTTGTTAATAATGTGAGGGCAATATTTTCACACTTGGCAAACCAGTATTGTGCAATTATTTCAATATTTTAACATCAAGGATATTATTGGCATTGAATCTTAATTAATTGAAGGCTGGGAAATGCTACAATAGCATGAAATTAGTAAAATAGTATGTGGTTTTATTATTTATACGAGTACTACTGTTGTTGTTAAGCCATACCCTGGCTCATTACCTTGCCCGTACCATCAAAGATGGAAGGGAAAGGTATATTAAGGGAAAAATTTTGTCCGACGTTGTCGTCGTCGTCGTTAATAATTGTTAGTGTGCATAATAACTTTACTAATTCTATTCCAAACTTTACCAAACTTGGTCACCTTATTCATCAGTATGAAGTCTTCCCTGAGTTTGAACAACAGATGTCCTGTATGTATAAGCACTCCTATGAATTGGGTGCCAAACTTTGATCAAGATCTGAAGCTAATAGAAAATCTGTTTAGTTCAAAGTTACCAAATCAAAAACAATACATAAAAAATACATAAAAAGCAAAACAATTCATCCACATTTTAAAAAGAAAATTGTTCTAAAATATATGTATTCTGTATTTGACAAACAGTTCATTTGACAAATGAAAATATATGTTTCAGTTATTAGAACAGAATGATAGTTTTTATAATACTGGTTTAAAAACACACTTCAAAGATTGCAGTGTTTGAAGATGTAGATTCTCAGGAGGCAACAGTACTGTTGACTTCTCCCTCTACTGGACACCAACTAACTATTTAAGTTGATTTGCATACAAAGCAGTGCTTGCAACATGATAGCTATTCATAAAGGGTGTTTTTTTTACTTTTCATATAATACAGTAGTCAC